CTCAGTGCAAGACACATGAAAGCCCGCATGGAGTTTGCTAAAAAACACCTGAAGGACTCCAAGATGGTGAGAAATACGATTCTCTGGTCTGATGAGACCAAGACAGAACTGTTTGGCCTTAATTCTAAGCGGTATGTGTGGAGAAAACCAGGCACTGCTCATCACCTGTCCAATACAGTCCCAACAGTGAAGCATGGTGGTGGCAGCATCATGCTATGGGGGTGTTTTTCAGCTGCAGGGACAGGACAACTGGTTGCAATCGAGGGAAGGATGAATGCGGCCAAGTACAGGGATATCCTGGATGAAAACCTTCTCCAGAGTGCTCAAGACCTCAGACTGGGCCGAAGGTTCACCCTGACTTAAACCCAATTGAGCATCTCTGGAGAGACCTGAAAATGGCTGTCCACCAACATTTACCATCCAACCTGACAGAACTGGAGAGGATCTGCAAGGAGGAATGGCAGAGAATCCCCAAATGCAGGTGTGAAAAACTTGTTGCATTATTCCCAAAAAGACTCATGACTGTATTAGCTCAAAAGGCTGCTTCTACTAAATACTGAGCAAAGGGTCTGAATACTTATGACCATGTGATATTTCAGTTTTTCAATATAACAATGAGTGAAAAATTTAAGGGGGTCTGAATACTTTCCGTACCCACTGTATATCATAATGTTGGATTTTGACTATTGATGCATTATTGGGAAAGGTGGAGCTAATGTCAACCACTGTATATGCTTATGATGTGAAGCACTGCTGGGTAGCTTGTGAGGTTTCCCACCACTGATCAATAAAGTCTTATGATCATAGTGCATTTTGTTTCATTAATCCGATTCTGAAACATAACTAGTAACTGAAAAAACCTTAGAAAAATCAACTGGACTTAGATTTCTAGATTGAAGACGTTTCACCTCTCATCCAAGAGGCTTCATCAGTTCTGTCCATCATCTTTTGTTGAAATAGCTGAGAAGAAATGGCTGAAGTTCTTTGTTGAATAATCTGATGGATGAAATGCAATAAATACAAGCAGGGATGTCCTTGAAGAGCTGAACATTTTGATACCTGAATGGCTTTTCTAGCTGAAAGTATGCTGAACTTATAAAGATGTGAAAATATTCCATTGGTCCTCACAAAGTAGGTAAAATAAGTAGGGGTGTATGTGTGAGCAGTCCCCACATAGTGGGAAAAACATATAGGGGTGTGTTTGTGTGTGTGAGTAGTCCCAATGTAATAAGTAAAACAAGTACATGTGTGTGTGTGAGAGAGAGCGAGAGAAAGAGAGAGAAAGGAGTTATGAAGTGCCATGTCTCAATTGCACTGCATTTTATGGACCAACAGATGGCACTCCAGCATTGTCATGACTTAGCACTTTGAGCTCCCATTGACTTCTATTGTAAACAAAAAGCTGAATAAATTAAAAAGTATAAACATTATAAAAAGGTTGAATGCAGGCAGGAATGTCCTTGAAGAGCTGAACAGTTTGATTCATGAATGGCCTGTATAGCCAAAAGTATGCTGGTCTTATAAAGTGCCAAAAAATGGATGGAAGATCCCAGAATAATCAGGAGAACATAGTGTGGATGCTTTACAGCATCCACACAACTAGTCGTCAAATAAATATAGTGCCTCTAAAATGTAGTATAGTCAAAGTATGAAGTAACAGAAAATGGAAAGATTCAAGTACAGATACCTCAAGTTGTACTTAAGTATAGTACTTGAGTAAATATAGTAGATACATCTACGACTGCACCACAGTGTGCCTTAATGTTTCTGCTACTACATTACCACAACTACTGTACCTTCTAGTGCTGTACATGATGATGCCAGTAGAGGCTATAGGCTGGACATTATGATACAATGAAATAAAATAAATGTCTATACCTGTTTAAACTGTGATAACTAATTTAAAGGTGTAACCATTGTGAAACACTTTGCAAATCAATGAGCAGGAGTGATATATGGGAATTCATTTTTAGATTATTTTTGCATCAGTGTAATGTACTTCGGTTGATCAAGTATTTAATTCACTATATTAGCCAAAACATTCCATCCATTTATTTATTTATTTATCAATGTATCTATTGAATCTCTAGAAAATGTGTTTAATATTAATAGCCTCATCGGTGTTGCAATGTTAATTTTAGGATTACATTTAATTGTTCTATATATATATATAAAGTAAACGGAAGCAACCACATTAATTACTTCTTCGTCTATACCGCTCACACATTAATTACTTTTCTGGGTAATTTCTTACTGCTAGTTGACCTCATTGAGTTTTACAAATACATCCGATATCCTCATTAGCACGTTGCTGACAGTTTTAACCCTTGTAGTCTACATTTCCTAATATCGTCACGTACCTGTGTAAATAAAAAGAGTTCCAAGTTAATCCATCAGTCTGATGAAGCAGCTGCTCCTTCCACTGCGGAGGAACCGAGCGGCTCTGATGGCCACGGTATAAGGATCACAGGTCCTGTCGTTCCCTTCACAATAAAGCGGGGCTTCAGAAAGAAACCGATCCATGGTGAAGTGTGTGTGTGTGTGTGTGTGTGTGTGTGTGTTTTACAGTAAGAGTTGCATTTCATATTTCACGTAATACTTTCATCAGGTAATCAGGAGTATATTTTGAAATGCAATTTGATTTACTACAGAACTCTACCACTTTTTCATGATTGAGTGTTTTTTGCTTTTATTTTGAAGTCAAATCGTCTTGTGAAACTGACTGTGGGAAGCTGACTGCTGCAGCCAGCTGCTAGTAGGGATTCTGATAAATAAATTAAAAAAAACAGACTGAGGATGCAATACTAATACCACACACGAATTTTCTTTATGTGAACCTTTATGAATATTATATTTAAAAGAAAATAGGTGGGTGAACTGTGAAAAACAGTTATCAAGTTGCCTACAAGTAATTCTTGTTTACTCATTTGTCTTTCCCCTTTAATTGTATTTGTTCTTTAATTTATATGAATTTTTGTACTGCTATCTGAGATTTCTATGTAGTTCACACAATTTGAGAATTAAAAATGAATTAAAAATATTATCAACAAGCCAACACCGGTAGAGAGTTTACATGGGTCTAATTTTCCTTCACACATGAAAAAGGACAGAAATATACAGAAGTCAGTCAAAATGCAGAATATATTTGTCACTCTAATTATCTATACTGTAAACCATAACCCATCTAGATTGGTCTTGCTCTTGAAGAAGGATCCCTCCTCTGGTGCTCTTCCTGAGGACAGATTGTTTGACTTGACTTGAGAAAACATAGATGAAAATAATAATAATAATAAATAATTAGGTGCCTTACTTAAAAATCTTAAATTACTTTTTTACAAGTAAAAGTCCTGCATTCAAGAATCACAGAATCACTATCAGCTAATTATAAAATTAAAATAAAATAAAGGACTGTTACTGTATATTTAAATATTTTAATGATTTTTATTGACAGATTAATGTGGCACCAGATTTTTGGTGTTGCCTTGATGGAGTTTATTTTAAATCTAATATTTTGGGGATTTTATGGCTGTCAAATAAACATGATGAAAATTTGGTGAAATTGATATGAAGTGATACAAATTAAAGTAGAAAGCAGTGTAAAATGAATTAAGTTGTCATGACTGGCATGTTAGCAGACAGTTGGCCCAATTACACACCCAGCCGGGAGAAACCTGTTTCTAGTCGTTTTATGCATTGTTAATATAAAAATATTGACTAGAGAAGCTTCAAGTACTCAGCTAACTTTCTTTTCACTACTCTCAAAACAGCATCAGCTTTATTAACACAACTTCACCATCGCTGCAGTAAGTGCAACTTGAAACAGCTGTAGACTAAGAAGTAACCTTCAGCTTCAAAATGTTTTTACCTATATACTGTAAAACTGTGAATATTGGTGTTATTGTAACTACCTTCAAATGGGAAGCACAACAGTGCTCTGCTCATGAGCCACCAAACCCATTATTAAACAATTATAATATAAACTAAAAATGACTTATATGGTTAGGAAGACAGAACATGGAGGGTGAAGTAAGTCAATGTGTTGGGATTCAACTGGAATATGGTATGCTGGGTGTCAACTTGAGAATGTTGGGAGTTCATCAGAAACTGTACCTGGAGGATGACTGTGAGAAACTTCTATTAGCTGCTCCCATAATTCATAGAGACAGGCCTAACATAAATCCTTAATATGTCCCGCTGTACTCTGCATACTGTTACAGAAAAAAAAAAAAAAAAAAAGCTTACAGTAATTCAATAAATATTACCTGAAACCTTGGGGAAAATATCCCTTCAAAGAACCCTTTCTTATACTGTACTGTATAACATATACATTTTTGATTGCTTCAATGCTTCTGGAAACAGGGATGATGAGAGAGTGGCAACTACACCACAACAGTAATGTTGCAGGCTGTAAAACCAAAACAATGTGCTAAAGAAGTGCAAAGGGTTTTGCAGAGCTGAAAGGAAATACTGAGTGGGGTTAGAGCAACATCCTTCATAATATGCTTAGTCAGCTGATCCAGTGTTAATATAAAACTGTTCTACATACAGTATGCTGTATTATGCATATGGCAAGACAGTGGACAGGATGTATTGGAGAAACAGCCTGGGTGCCTGATGCTACTGGGCTTATGGGAAGAGCCTGGTGGTAATACTGGCCATGGAACAGTGTCTGCAGACAGCTCTGTGTTAACACAAAGAATAGACTGGGAAATCAGCTGGCACTTCCTGCCACAGTTGAACTTATTTTGATAAAAAATGATGCCAAGTATGTTTCAACATCATGAAAAATAAGGAATATTCTCAGGTCTGTAATGGCCAAGGGACCAGGAAGATGAGACAAATTGCTCACTGATGTAAAAGCCTGTTGGCTGGCATTGTGAGAATGCCCTGTGCAGACTGTTGTGTGTTGATTTGACCATTCAGTGACATCCAACACTGCATGCGCACCACAATAGTCCTTGGACCCTCAGAAAGTACTACGCTTTGACTGGGGACTTTGTTTGGAAGGTAGAACTCCAAACTGGAACTAAACTTATCTACATTTTCCACCTTTGGTGAAAACAGGGCTTATGCATCGAAATTAAAGGGGTTCAGTACATTTATGTTGCATTCACTTCTTAATGGACTGTACTTGATGAAGTGTGTTTGAATGCTGATGTATTTCCTTTCTGACTATGCTATGATGACATAGGTACTAGAGTACAGCACACTGAATAGTGATGTGCTCACTCACTGTATTGTTGTATGTGTTGAAGTGCATCTGAGGAATGATGCGTTCACTTACTGACATATGCACTAAAGTGAGGCAATGCCTTACTGCTGTAGACTGAAGTGCATTTGAACAGGGATTCATGCACTTACTGTTGTATGCACTTCAGTATCACCCATTGTTGCGGTGATGCCGACAGTACTCAAGGCACCAATGTAAACAGAACTTGTCTGAGCTGAACTGAAGGTTCACTTCAAAATGTCACATGCTGCTATCTCTACTGCCGCACCAGGCTGCAGAGACAGCCTGTGCATGTTAACACTAAGTGCTTGCAGGTATGAAGCTTTCGTGAACTTACCATACTTAGATCATTTGTTAAAGCTCCCTGTGGCACTTTGGCAGGCCTGACAGCTTCATATGGTTGGTCCCTGATAGGCATGTGGTAGCAGAGGTTGTTTTAAATATGCTGGCTCACACTGTATCATGAAGAGCTGCTGTATTCACTTGCTGAAGTTAGTGTAAGAAGATCAGTCTACCTTGGTATGTGGAATATGAACTAATAGCCTTTGGAGGTATGAAAATGGATTTTAAACAGAGGTTCATAAGATCCTCAGCTCAGTCAAGCAGTAATTGTGGCCATTTCATTTCAAATAAATGGCTTCTGAAGAACTAACTTTATATAATGGCAGGCTGACTCACAGCCCCTGACAAAGGCAAAGAGAAAGACAGACTTAAACTCATAGAGTCATGGCTAAAAATACTGATGCCCCTGCATTTCTGTCAGATAAGGCACCACTTCTCTCAGAAAACTGTTGCAATTACAAATTCTTTGGTATTCTCATGCTTATTTCTTTTGTCTGCATTGAAACAACACAGAAAAGCTCAGGAAAGAAGCCAAATCTGATCCATTCCACACAGAACTTCAAACATGGGCTGGACAGAAATACTGACACCTTTTTAAAATCATCAGAAATCGTTGTTTCCAGCTTGTGATGCTCCTTTAATTTGTAGTGAAACTCGCCTGTAGCAACCAACAGGTGCTGGCAACATAGAAATCACACTGGCAGCCAGTTAAAATGGAGAAAAGTTGACTCAACCTTTGTGTGGTGTGGACCACACTGAGCACAGAGATAAGAAAGAAGAGCAAAGAATTGGCTGAGGATCTGAGAACCACGTAGTGGACAGTCTCAAGGCTCCAAGTCCATGTCCAGAGATCTGGTTGTTCCTGTGTCCACTGTGAACAATGTTGTCAAGATGTTTACAGCCCATGGTGCTGTAGCTAATCTCCCTGGAGAAAAATACAAATTTAATATTGTTTTGTAATTACTTCTGCTTGTTTTGTTTGACCAACAGTCCAAAACCCAAAGCAAAGTTTCACAGTATTATAAAATCCATATAAGCAGGGAATCCTCACATTTATGAAGCCAGACCCAGCACATGTTTGGCATTCTTCTTAATAAATCATGTAAATGGTAAACCGGTGATCAAAGCTGATTAATGAATCAACTTAATGTGACAAGACCATGGTTTCTACAAATGTTAAAAGTGGGGAAATGACCACACGCTAGAATTGTACATGATTTATTAAAAAATATCTGACATTTCAATGTTGTGTGGTCATTTTTTTGCCATTGTTGATTCAGATTGTCATGACCAGTAGGTGTGCATTAGTTTATTTTGGTTTCCTCAATGGATAAACATTTGACCAGTGAGTAGATTTTTATTCTGAATAAAACCCGGGCTCAAACAATATAAAATGATTGAAATCATGATTTGCTTTTAGATCCAAAGTAAAAAACTAAACCAACAAATGCATGTACGTGCTGGATTTGACGGGGATACACACTGGCAGAAAATGAAGACGTTTCCCTGACAAATTGTGTGAGATGGAAGTGATAGTGTCTGTGGATGGAGACAGATGGAGCAGATGCTGCAGCCCTGACAGCAGTGTCTGAACTTGCTGGAGCAGGGCAGCTGTCTTCCTCCAGGCGACTCCTGTCTCACCCATCGACACACTGAATGGAGCAGAGACATACTCACTACTTTTACTGCAGTTGACATTATCTGCCCACCTCTTTGATAATGATATACATCCATGCAGGGATTGCCATAAAGCGGTATTTTACAGTGATAATTTGCTCTTTGATCACATTTTATGCCACTGCTCTTAAGTGGTTGCCATTTATCATTCTGCTGATGAGTGAGACTTACAAATTAAAGCCCTGTCAACA